GGTCCTGACGCCGACATTTCTGATGATCTGGGTGACTCCGCTCCTGCCTCCGCTTTGTCTCTCTCCCTCTTCTCCCCCCGCCCCTTTAATTTTCTTTTTTCCCTCTGCATTTCTACTCTTTTGTCTTCATTTGTGCCACCCGTCGGGATGTTGCGATAGCGTTCTTCCGCCTTGTCGTGGCTTTTTTTTGATGAGGTAGCGCTTCTCTGCCTTCGCACCCTGGCGTTCCTGCGGTTACGGAGGAAAGATTTCCCCAAGGTTGGGTCTCCTCGTCCTTTAAAAGAAAACAAAATCCCACAAGCTGCCGACACAAAGATCTGCAAAGCCCCAGAAAAAAAATTACTGACTATCCAAGATTTCCCGATTTCCTGATCCAGGGAGTCCTGGCTTCTCGAGTCAGGCTGAGCTTGGGTTTTTTTGGCAGGAGCGCAGATCGTTATCCCTTCCTCCTGCTCCTCGGTGGGGTTCACTCGCTTTGGGGTTGGGGTTTTCTTTTTGCTTTCCCGATGAGCAGCAGCTGGAGGGAGATGTCAGGACGGGTCAAGCCACTGGTCGGGCCCAGGTGACTCGGGAGACTTGGGAATAACTTGGGAATAACTCCAGGCTCGTCCGAGCGGGAAGCAGCAGCTGGCAAGGCCAGTGAGGGGGAGGACTCGCCTACTGTCCCCAGCCCGGTGCCAGCGGAGTGAGAGTGACAAGGAAGGGGGAAAAAAAGAAAAATCACTCAAAAGTTGTCTCTGGAGCAAAGAAACCGGCAGGTTGCACAGTGCAGCTTCCAATATTTAGAGCCGCTCCCTTCTCTGCTCCGTTCATCCCCAAACGGGTCCGGGCTGTGACTGGGAGGACTCAAAAATCCCTGCTCCCGTCACTGGGACCACGGCATCGGCCTCCCCGCAGTGGGTAGGGGAGGGTTTGTCCCCGAAGTGCTTTGTAAACTTTCAGTACTTCTGTCGCCCTCTGAAAAATTCCCAAGTCTTTTTTTTTTTTTTTTTTTAATAGTGGTTACAAAAATCATCATCCCGGTTTGGAATCTGTGCTGACCGTTTTCTGCCGTGCAGCTCGTTTCTCGGTGCTAAAGCATCGCTTTGTACCCAACAATTATTTCCTATTTTATCTTCTGGTAGAGGACTGCGAACAGATGTAGTTTGCTTGGTTTTATTCTGGTGGGTGGTTTGTGGTTTGGTGTTTTTTTTTTTTTTAAGTCCAAATAAACTCATATTTTTCTCTGGCATGCAGGGAATAGTAGCATATTAAAAAGGTAAGGGTTTCCTTTACAGAAACACTGATCTGTCATTACTGTTGCGTCTGTTAAAAGGTTTAACACTTTTCAGTATATTGTTTTAAAATCGCCTCTTGAAATAAAGCAAACTGGTTCGTAGTTCGGTTTTCTAATGTTAGGATAAACTTAAGGCTATTCAAGGTAGATGGCTCATTAGTCTTGCTGGTAGCATTTGTTGCGTGGATTTGGGTTTCTCTTCTAACACGTTTTTATGTGACGCAGTTGGCTGGGGAAGCGATCAAGGGATTGGAGGGTTTGGAGAGGAACCAGGAATTAAAGCGCAGCTAACGAACCTTATTCGATCTATACGAACCGTTATGAGAGGTAAGGTGACGATCTTTTGTTTAAATGTTCCTGTCTGTAAAGTTTCGCTTCTGTGCTTTAACGAAATCATCTCAGCATTTTGACTCTTCTTTTACCAAACAGCTGCTGTTTCTGCTCGCCATTTCCCATCTGTCCTTCCTTGGGGTTCTTTCCTTCGCCCGTGGACTCTGTGTAGGAGGGCGCAGGTCCTGGCTAAGGCGCCCTAATTTTGATAAAAGCATAAAACATTCCCCGACTCCGGCTTGCGGTGCCGCCGCTGCGTCTTGTCTGTCTTTCCTTGGAGTTTGGGAGCTGGGGGAAAGCTTGGTGATCAGTGGGAGCGTGCAGTTAGCTTCACCTTGGCTAAATGCAGTTTTATGTGAAGTATCTGGGGCGGGAAATGTAATTCCTGTGATTCTTAAAGGTAAGCTGGGCTTACGTGCCTCAAAGGATGGGGAAAAAAAATAAGACTTTAATTTGGAAGTTACTGATAGTTTTCCTTACTATAAAGGACACCAAAAATTCCTTTTGTAGGCGATGGTAAAGGGGAAGTAACAAATCTTACCCGTCTTGCCCACCACAGAGTGAAAACTGATGCATTTCTTCCAAATCACAGCAAAGCCACAGATAGAAACTGACTTTGAGATGGTTTTGTTTCATTTGGAGAAAGGATTGTTTGGGCCAAAGTTAGAACATGATGGGCCACCTAAAAATATTTACTCTGTTGCTTCCTAATTTTTATTATCCTAGGCTTTGATCCTGTCTCCTTTTGCTAATCGCCGATTTTTGCATTAAGAAAATTCAGCGTTTTTTTAAAATGTTGATTGATTTTGCTCCTTAAAAGGGGGTCTCCCAAGGGAATAAGAAGTTCTGTCACTTCGTGATGTGCAGAAGAAAATTTTCACAATTGCTCTTCTTTTTTTTTTGGTT